CAGAGCTGTGTTTTCAGTTCAGCCACCTCTAATCAGTGGAAGTTTAAAGGGCTTTTGAAAGACTGAACAAAGTGTGTGTGGCTGAGACGAAACGCTTGTCAACTGCAGGGAGTAATCCAACAGTTGCCAGCCAGAGTCAATCTGTTCCTTGCATGACAGCACAGATACAGCCCCAAGCAAAGGCCATTCAATTTACTGAGAAATGTGGAGTCAGCTATGACCAGATTCAGGGAAATGTGATCCTTTGTGTTTGAGGTACCTGCTAGAAAAGAGCTTGTGCCATGGCCATATTTAATGCTCCAGATGGTGCAGTTTCTCATGACACGGTGTGCTACAAGCCCTTCACATTCATCCTGGGACATATTGCTGGGTTATACATCTCCTGCAGTAAGGTTTTTCCTCAGCCAGAAAAAGGGATTTCTAAATGGTGCTTAAACTATTAACAAAAAAAAAGCATAGATGACTGTTTCCTACGCTTAATTACATACACATATAGTGTTACCAAGAACAGATTGCAGAGACAGAAACTCCAGTGGTCACATTTTCCAGAGCCTGTGTTGCTGTCCAGCTTTGATTCTGTATACTTCCTGCTCAGGCACATGCATTTTGATTTACTGTAATATTTTTACCACTCTCAGTGCAGTGAATGTGAATGGCTGTTCAGTGCTTTGTTCTGTCCTTGTGGCTGATGCTGTGGTCAGACCCTGCTCTGGAGATAAAATTAAGAATTATTCTGTGGGCTTTTCTATGAATAAATCACCTGGTGAATAAAATTTCAGACCAAATGATTAAAGTTTGGCAGAGTTAAGTGGTATTTGAAAGTGGGGTGTTAAAATGTGGAACATCAGCACACAATAATAGGAGGCACTACCATTCCCACCTGTGTTAAAATTCTGCCTTTGAAACCTGTTTAAAGTGACCCATTGCAGTTTTGCCTGTTCCAGGAGGGGTCAGCAGGGGTGACAGAACAATAGCAGTGTTTAAAGGTTGCAAAGAATTAATATCTAAGGATAACTGAATCAAACTGAAAACTCACATACACATAAAACCATCTACCAGCTAATTCCCAGAGTACCTGATGAAAAAAAAGGCATGTTTTCAAATGAGTAATGGCTGGGAAAGTGGCTGTAGAACAGAAGCAGTTGTTACACCTTTAAAAAGATATAGGCAGACATATCCTTTGCTTTGAATGCTCATTCGGTGCCATCAAACACAAAGTTATCTACTGTGACTGTGGTATGATGATGGTCTAAACATTGGCAGTAGTATGTACAGATATGTAAAATGCCAACTGTGAAGAAAAATTGCATGTTTCATATATAGATACATAAATAAATGGGGAGATTTAGCACCTGTCTGTGCCTGTACAGACAAAGAAGTTAATCACTCCAATTCAGGGTGGAGGTAGCTTAAAAGTCAGCCTTCCAAAGTCTTGCTGTTAATGGTGCAGCTTAGTCAGAGCACTTAGTTCTCCTGGCTTTTTGTCTGTGATAATTCACCTCCAGAGCAATATTATAGATCAGTCACTCTGAATCAATAATATTTGCATGCACTTATGTGTAGTTCATGCTAAGAAGGGTAAGCCAGAGCTAATTAAGCTAAAACATCATTTGTACACTTGGCAGCTCCCTGCTAACTTTGAACAGTCCAGTCCATAAAAGCATAAGGATCAAAAGATCTAGAACTGAAATGGTGAAGACAGCTGATTTTTAAATGGAACGGCTGTAAAAGTCAAGTGCCTCATGAAAGCATATGGGTTTCTACAAAGCTAAATGACAGATCTTGCTAATACCCAAATGCAGGCAATAAATTACCCACAACCAGCTGATAGTTCTCCAGTTTCTCTAATATCTGAACACCTCCCATGTATTTAAAAGCTAAAATAATTCTTTTTCAGAACTGTAGGAAGAGCTTCATGGATACTTATTATTTGTTTGATCACAAGTGAGAGCAAAGATCAGCCTCTATGCTGATCAGGTTTTCCTAGTCTAGGAAGAGATAATTTTTCAGATCAGCTTGATTTATTTTATTTAAGATCTTCACATCAAGATATGAGATGAGATACCTACAGCAAGCTGCAGTTATATTTTGTTCCCCTTTATAAAAAGTGGCAGAATCAACAGGACACCTTGTTAATGAAGTAAAATGCATGTACCATTATATATGTCCTAGATCTGGGAGAAGGGGATGTACATTCGTTGTGCCTGCATGGTACACGTATGTGTAAAGAGCCTCTCCTTATCACTTGCAGATATGTAGAACCTATTTGTGTGTAAACTATTTAACCCTTCTGAACATTATTTAAATTTGTCATCTCTGTAGAAAACTCATGGCTTTATCTCTGTATTTCAGACCTGTCTCATTCTGCTTAAAATAAATTGACCTGTCTTCCAAGCCTTGTGGTTGTCTGACCATCAGCTTGAACTGAACAGGACTAAAACAGAGCTTTTAATCTTCCTCTCCAAGCTACCTCCTTGTCATGTCCTTCTTCAGTCACTATGGACAACATTGCAATCCCACCTGTTACTTAGGCCAGCAACTGAAGTATCATACTTGTCTTGTAATGCTTTCTGGGTCCTCACAGTCACACTGTACCTAAATTCTGTAAGGTTGGTTTGGGGTTTTTTAAATCTTAGATACAGCCTCTCCAATCCTGCCCATACAGCTGAAATGCTCATCCAGAGACCATTCATCTCCCATCTTGATTACTGCAACATCCTTTTTACTGGCATTGCAACTGCATTTTGCTCTGTCCATAACAATCTAGAACGAGGCTATTTTTGTAGCTTGTTGCTTTAACCATACCCTTACAGGACAAATGTAGACAGTGGAGTTTAGTTTGGGCAACACAGAATTCCATTTTATCTTGTTTACACCAAAAAAAAGGGATCCTATTTTATTTCAGACTTGACTAGTGTCCTTCTCCTAAAACACCCAGGACAGTTCACATTCACTTCCTGTACCTCTTGCTGCCTTCTGCAGCATGGCTTGTAGTGGTTCACCCCTTGTGCTTTTCAAATGAGCAACCAATGTGCTTTTATCTGTTCTTTTTACACACAAGCAACATGGTCAGAGGGATTTCAGAGAGCTGCCTCGTTGTTCTGCTCGAATACCTGAACTGCCATCATCTGTACAAAAATACATGTTGTTCATGTATCATGCTGCCACTGATCATACTGACAGATATTACCTCCTGAGCTTCCCCACTCTGCCTGAAAGCACCTCAGCTCTTTCCTCAAATAGACTGTGTGCTCCTTGGGGTAAGGGCTATGTTTGAGACATGATTAATGGCACAGAGCACCCACTTGTGACTGCTAACTATAGCCACAAACATAGAATGGGCTTGTATATATGTTTCCATGTCGGTGTTCTGTGACCTTCAGTAGTGTTTATAGAATAATGCTTCAGCATTGACACACGTGAAAAATTGAACATTTTCAACATATGTGCTTAGAGGATTGTGCTTACAATTCATGGGTACAGTAGCCATGAATAATAAAGTGTGTGTGTGGACAGGTGGAGAAAATATTTGGAGGGAGAAGAAAACCTATCTCTATTAGTATGTATAATAGTTTGGTAACCACTTTATGATTTTCAGTATCAAATACAGTAATAGCAATGGTTATGAATCTTAAGAAAACATTTTTGTATTAAGGAGAGAAGAGAAGAGAGACAGAAAACTCAGATCTTTTGCCAGCATTCACTACAATCTTCAACTTATCAGATCTGGGGAAAAATCCAAAATTAATACTGTCAAACTGAGCAGCAGATGTTGAAAGAGAATCAGGCACTGCAAGCAAATTGATGTGCCAATGAAAATTAGACAGGAAATTCTCACTAAATAAACCCCAACAGGTTGCAGGGTCTCAAACAAAGTTAGTTTAGACCACCTAGTAAATTCATTTTTGTGTGACCATATTAATAGGGTTTTTCTTTTTTTTTTTTCACTTGCTATATGCGTATTTGTGTATCAGAAAGAAATTTATATGCTATCTTAAATTTCTGCAAAACACCTTTTCTCAGTTCGCTCGAGTCTCAGCCAGATTGGCTTCATCTTACTTGCAAGACTTTCTACGTTGTCTTCCAACTTGTCAGCGCTCACTTCTCTTCGGCAGCCACCGTTTGCCTTTGAATCTGGGTGCAGACAAAGAGGCTTCAGTTGATTGTTTGCAAAAATATGAAATAAATTTACATTCATCAGAGTAATAGGTTTCCATTTCCAGAGGCTACGCCAAGGAACAGCTGAATTTAGAAGCAGACTGGTTTGCAGGGTGGTTACAGCAGCATCTGTCTGTAAGTGGTCGTGCACAGCATAGGCACTCTTAGGGTATAGAGTTTGTTATCCCTAGATTGTTCAGACAAGAGCCCAAATATTGGAAGGGTATCTGCAGATCTGGAGATTGTTTTGCCAGCTACAGCTGCTGGGCCTCTCATTAAAGTTGGTAAAACAGATGTGATTAGGTCAAACATTTCTGAGCCAAAAGCTTGACAAACATAATAATTTGTAAACCAAAAAAAGACTAATCTTCTGTGTCTTCTAACTCATCTCATGTTTTCTCTTAGATAGCAGCTGCTGCTGTAAGTTGCACACAGCATTATTTTTTTTGTTTCCCTGGTTTGACTCATTTCTTTTGGAAATAGATCTCTTAGCTTTTTTTTTTTGGCAGGCAGAATTCTGGCCTGACTGTGGATTTTTCTCCCACTCTCACTCACTCACTCACTCACTCACTCACTCTCTCTCACTCACTCACACATGCTTTCCTTCCTTTGCTTCTTTTCCAGCTTTTTAGCTGTTCCTCCCTCTGCTGTACTTGCTACAAGCATGGGGGGCTCATGCATTAGAATTAGGAGGTATCTACAGACTGACTGTGTCCTGGTATCCATGTACTGCCTCTGTTAATGCTTCAACAAACAAAGGCATGTTTTGTTTTCAGGGATGTGAAAACTAACTAATAAAAAAAAATAAAATTTCACCCTGTTTCCATGTATTTGTGTGTTAGAACTGTGAAAGGAAAACTGGAACTGAGGTTAACTGGAATTGTTACTGGCTTTGGACTGGAGAAATACGCTTGCTGTGTGTAATTCAAGACCTTTACCAGATGGCAACTCTTCAGCTGGTATGGATTAAGAAAGGTAAGCAGCACTGTGCACACTACTGGCAAGTTTCTGAGCTTTCCTGTCCCTGCTTAACTGATCTCTTGTTTTCTTGGGTTCTGTATGAGTATATCTTGTGGTGGTGCAGATTTTGGTATGCCTTGCCAGAGATGGAGGCAGGAATGCACACAGAATTGTGTTCAGTTTTCCCTTGGAGGCAGGACAATGGAAGTTTTTCATTGGTGAGGCAAGAGTAGGGTCTGTGCCACTGTACCAGTAATTGCTCATCAGTGCAAGGACACAGGGAGCTTTTCCTGGATACTCTCTTAAGTCCTTTACATATGTATTGTGCCAGTAGCATCCTACTGTCCCTATTATCTGATAATTATCTGCAAGTTTCTCTTCAGTGCCAGAAATTAGTCCCCTGTAGATTAGGTTAGTGCCATTCTCTTCTTCCCAGGTCCATCACTTCATTCCATGGAATTTAGAACAACCCTCAGACAAAACTTAACATGAAAAGAAAGTAAAAATCACTAAAGAGAAGCTAATCCCTGGGTTTAGAGCCAAAGGGCCTTGTATAGGCGTAAAGAACAAGTAAGAACCAAATCCACTGGTGTTCCAGAAAGGTCTTGTCCCTCTGTCTGGCTCTGGCACTAGCAAAGGCAAACATGGAAGGTTTTATTAAAAAGCTGATACAGCTCAATGGGTCTCATAAAAACAAAGCAAATGAAAAAAATACCCTAGGGATTGTATTTTAATTTTTATATAGTGGAGTCTCATCTGAGTTCTACTAATGCTTAAATGTTGTGAAATTTTAGACTCAAATGTGAGTTTTTCATTTCAATGACTGGAACAGCAAGCAAAAGAGATGTATGTAAAAACAAAGAACTCTGGAACAACTGTAGGCACCCACAGAGTAACACAGACCAAAACAGGTCATTCTGCAAACTCTTTGCTAGACAATCAGACTCTGAACTTGCTGACAGGCCTGTAGAGTGGCAAGATGAGGGGATGGTATCAATACTTTCTCTGTTCTTCATTACAGGATGTTTTCTTGAATTGATTACAGCCTGGTGGAGCTGCTGGGTAAGTTAATGAATTTACTGGGGTGGGGTGAACACCAGTGAGGGAACAGCACAGTTTTTATGTGTCTGATAAGTTCAGATATCAAAACAGATCTGATTTTCCCAGTCTGAGATTCAGGCCACTGACTGCAGAACAGAGCTGACTGGAAAAGCATCTATTTTGCCTCAAGTGTTGCTTTGTGTTAAGCATGTACTTAACTCTCTTCCCAAACTGGTACTTCTCAGGTTTTATTAGCACTCTTAACACCCTAAATAAGATTGGAGTAAAGAAAAGAAGCAAAATTTCTTTGACGAATATGTCAGTTAAATGTCTTTCTTTTTCCCTGAAGAAGGTTGTAATGTGGTTTTTTTATCCCATCTGCAGAGGAACTGAAGTGATACATGAGCACTTAGCAATAAACATTTTTAATGGAGACCCCTATCCCCAGTTTAATTTCTGCCCTCAGTCATATTACATTAATCAATACAAGTGATGTTCTCAGTGGTTTCATTGCACCCTGTGAACAATTTTGCTGCCTGGAATTAAAGAAACGTGCCTTGAGTGTATTTTGATACTCAGATTTAATAACAGGGGATCCAGTATTGATTTTAATGGTTTGTGTATGTGTGTGCACAACTGTGTTTTCCTGTGCACCAGTTTCCCATGCACTGAATAGTCGTGCTCCAGTCCAGCTCTTCTGGCTGTTGTAATACTGAAAGGTTATCAGAAATGGTACAAACCATGACAATACTGACTAGAGGAAAGTGATTAACTGCCTAATATGACCTTGCTTCCCAGCAAAATATATACGAGCTCCCCGTATGTCACATTCAGTGTTACTCACACACTTGAAATTTCTACCAAGCGTTCTTGGCAGCGTGAATATTCACAAACATTTTGTCTGCAACACTATCTGTCAAATGATAGTGTTACTCTTTGTTTTGATGAGTTCAGGTCTTAAATCTGGGCTTCTGAAGCCAATATTTGTAGTTACTTGCAATTCCTTTTTTGAGTAAATGGCACCTATGGGCAAACAGGGAAGTGGAGTCTTAAATATGCACCTGAGACCTCCAGGCTTAGAATGGGCTTTCTGCTGGAAATATTTACAATTATTCAAAATTGCACAGTTGAATTTGATTTTCAGTGAATGATACTTTTTTACCAGTAGCCAGAAGGAGACAGATCTACTATTTAAACCCATTTCAAACCATTTTCAGAGGGTTTACATGAGCCACTACGACTGCTGGGCAGTTCTGTCAGGGAACGGCCTTCACATGGTGTCTTGCTTTCACCTATACAAACCAAAGGGCTGTGCATGGGTCCTAACTCTTAGCTGAGCTTCAACAAAACAAAACTGAAAAGTAATTTTGAAAAATTTCTAGAAGCTATTTCAGCACTGTATTTAAGTGAGTATTTTAAGACTTTGTCTCAAACCACACTAAATGCTAACACAAGCCACAGCACAGAAATGTTTCTAAGTATGTGTACTTAGTCACTAGCCGTGGTTCAGGAGAAAATATGTATCTGACATTCACAGAAAATTCAGCCTGAATATTTCACAGATTGATGAGTTGCAGTATTTAAGGAAAGGTTAGGAGTTCTTGAGTCTAGAGGAAGCCAAATTAAGAAAGAAAATTGAAGTGGCTGGTCAGCTTTAATTTTTAATGGTTCATAAGTTTCCATACAATAAACACATCTCTTTTTTTTTTTTTCCCAAATTGAGAGCAGATTATTCATTGGCATGTGGGATCTGAAGGTTCCCATGTGGGATCTGAAGGTTCCCATGTGTGTTCTTAAAGTAACTTTCCATTAAACAATATACTTTTATTGGGACACTTTCATACAGTCCTACAAATTCCTGCTCACCAATATATACCAGGTCAACACAGCCTTTGAGTGGGTCAGGAAAATATCACTGCCTTTCTTCTCCCACTACATGATGACATGAGAGCAGACAAGGAGCACTGTACTGAAACTGGTGATCTTTCACAGGAGTATGGCCTTATACCCTCTGCTTTCTGTGTAGATTAACAGAAACCTCTTCCTGCAGGTAACAGCTTTTTTTATGTAAGGGCATTTTTTGTTATTAGTAACAAAACCAGACATTCAAAAGCTATATCTATATAAATTACTTTAGACTGCTCCTATAAAAAGCAGTTAAATTAAAATATAGCATGAATAACTGCTTGCTTTATTATCAATACCTTATATTTATTAAACATGTTTCCAGTTACCAAACCTTCCTATGACTTTTCTCAGCCATAAGCTTTCAGCAAAAAGGACTATAGCCATAATATATGTACCTCCATCATACGGAAAAAGGATTTGTATTCAATTTAAAAACTATTTAAAAAATGATTGTGCAATGAGGGTGCATAAATTGCTGGAGTTTGCAGCATCACACTACACATACGCAAGATTTTTAAAGGGGCTATATTCAATATTAATAAAATTAAAGAAAGCCTTATTAAACCACAGGATCTCTACTACTATGGAGATAGAGTGCTGTCTTGAGAATATTTACAGATGCATTTTTGAATATGGACTGAGAGGATGAGATTAATCCATAGACTAGTGGATAGTACATAGCACAGACTGACTTCCATGGAAGCAAATTTTGCCATTTTGCATGACACCCACAGTGTAAGACATATTCATCCTGGGGCCCCTGGGTAACACTCACTTTGGTTTTGTTGCTGTTGTATTGTGGCAGCAGCAGGAGCTGTGATGCCAATTTTGCCCCCCAAAAGGCGCAGAGAACTGCTCAGAGACAAGAATTAGTCTTTAAGCAGCGAGGTATATTTATTAGGCAACGTTGGAGAGCAGCTGGACAAACTGCTCTGTCTCTCCAGTGAATTTACAGGTTTTCATACTATTTTTACAGGTGATTTTGACATTTTCACATACATATTCATATAATTGCAACATCTAATTGTAATATTCATAATAGGTGGAGTCTAGGTGGAGTTGGGGGTGTGGTCTTCAATTTGGGGAGAATCTAGGAGGGTCGTTCCTGTTCTTCATCCTTATCAGCCCCTGGCCCAGGCTCCATCATCTTCATGAACTTTTCAACTTTCTTGATTTTGGCAGACTTCATGGTGAATTTTGCAAGATTCTTGGACTCAAGCCCCACTTTGCCCCCTTATCTTACTTAAGTTAGGTGTGTATGCATTTTTCCAGTGTACGGTACCTATCTCTAAGTTCTGGCAGTGCATCCTAGCTAAGTATTGGCAAGGTTCTTCGTGCTCTTGTTTATACCTATAGTCTGACCTATACTTATATTCTATACCTATATTCTGATTCTACCTGCTTTCTGGGTCTTGTCTGGCTTCGGCTGCCACTTGAGAGAGTTTTGATTGTGTTTGTCCATGGTGGGGAAAACAGGGATATGGGAGGGTTGCCAGCCAGTCAGGACACAGCCAGCCTGTACCTGTGACCCTGGGTCTGGATATCCAAGGCACTCTGACAGCTGATCACACAGGCACAAGCAGTATTTCACTGTAAGCTGCAAAAATAAAGCAACTAAACTCTTCTCCACAACTCCTGTGAATTGCAAAAGATCTAATGTGTCATTCTGGCAAGTGAATTTAGACATGGAGAAACATCTTCCAAAAATAAAGATAATTAAGCACTAAAACTGCTTACCTGGGGATGCTGCAGGGAATGGAACAACAGAGGCTTTCAAGATCACAAATGGATGGATAAATGATTCTCAGGCATGGCAGAAGAAGGGATGATCTTTTGATTTGGCCTAGGGACAAGATTAGATCCCTCTCAGAGTCTTTTGTTGTTTCTGTTCTGTGAGTTCTGGCTCAAGAAAGACAAGCACTCAGCTTGCATTGAGACCCCATCTCCTTTTCTGCTTCTTCACTCCCAGCTCTGCAAAATCAACATCTGTCTAGTCGGACAGATGTGTATTTCTATACACAGA